AGAGGAAAAAGAAAAAGGAAAGGAAAAAGAGACGGAGAGAGACAAGAGGTAAGAGCAAGCAAGATATAGGCACAGAGAGGAAGAGAAAGGGTCCTTAAGACCTCTACCTCAAGACAAGGCTCTCTTGCCATTCTCCACCACGAAGTTCATCCAGGTGTCCCTGACTCATCAAGGGCAGAAGGTGGGGCAAAGCTTCGGTCCTGCACAACCACCCAGGGTCTCTTTGTGAGGCATCTTGGATTTCTCTGGGTGGAAGGCTATCACTCTACAGGCTCTGCAGTCAGACTGCACCACCACGCTGGTGACTGAACAGTGGTGAGGAGGATGCAGCAGGGAGACAAGTTCTCCCAGGGGACAGCACAGGGCCCCAGGACCCCGAGCCAGAGCCTGTGTTGGCAGAAGCCTGTGGGTGTACAGAATACATTTGACCCCACAGGGAGTCAGGCCAGCCCAAGGCAGACCTGTACCATGCTAGGCCATCAGGCCACTCTGCTGTGAGCACCACATTTCTACCACAGGCACTGAAGCTTCTGCTGGCTCCACTTGCCACCCTGCCTTGTCTCCACCTCATTCATGAGGTGGGTCTACCACACTTCGTTCCCCCAGCAGCTGCTGGGGTGCCACTGCCCAAGATTTGCAGGTGTGTCCTTATTTGGAAAGAGGGTCTTTGCAGATGTAAGCAGGCTTCGATAAAGCCAAAACGGGATACAGTGGGCCCCAAGTGACTGAAGTGTGGCGACGGGACTCATGAGCTGCAACAGAGGAGGCCTGAGTACAGCTCTGCCCCACATCTTGATTTCCGGCCTGTGGCTTCCAGCATGCAGAAGGTATAATCTGCGCTGTCTCAAGCCACCCGCCCATCTGTGCTCACTTGTCACCTGGTGGTTAAGAGCTGCTCTCTGTCCACCAGCAGTGTCACAGGCCACATGTCGTTCCTGATACCTCAGGACAGTGAGCTGGCCTCAGTGAGAAAGCAAGCATATCAGGCTCTGGTCTGCATGGCGCTCCAGGCCACTGCTCCCAGTCCAGTCCCACCAGACATATTCAAGAAGCCAATTTGAAACAGCCCCAGGATGTTGGTTAGCATTGTGTCTTTAATCCCAGCATGAGGAGGCAGAAGCAGAGGCTCTCTGGGAGTTTGAAACCAGCCTACTCTTCTAGAACAGCAGGGCTAGAGTGAGATACCCCCTCCTTCCCTCAGAGTGAGAGAGAGAGAGAGAGAGAGAGAGAGAGAGAGAGAGAGAGGAGAGAGGAGAAAGGAGGGGGAGAGGAAAGAGAGAGAGATTTATCCAATGTGGTAATCTGTGCCATTTTGGGGGGCACAGATTATGACCCTAACTTTGGTAACACCACAAGCAGTGTGAGCATACACCTGCTCATCAGCTCCCCACAGGAAGCTGGGCTGGCTACCTCTGCAGTGCTGCCTCACGGCCAGTGACAGCTCAAGAGGCTGGTGTCAGGCACAGGACACCGCATCTCTTTCAAGGTCATCATTCATCTCCCCATCCAGCCTTGGAAATGGGGTTCCCTCGGCTGGTGATGATTCAGGGCCCCAGGCACCTTCAGCAAAAACATCACAGGGACAGACAGTTTTAGTTTCCAGGACTCGAGGGTAACCCATCAGCCAGGCAGAGGCCAGGGGTGCAGTTAAAGGTCAGATGCCATGGGGCTCAGGTGAGGAGACCAGCTTTAATGGCATAAGTAATAGTATAGGGTGTGAGAGGGCACAGAGTATTGGAGTACCTACTAGTAAGGATCTGAGGTGTCCTACCCACAGAAGACATCTAAACCTGAAATTTCGCTTCACATTGAGTAAAGTGTGCAATTGGGGGATCCTGGTATAGGCGTTCTCATTCCAAAATCTGCCAGCTCTCAGGTTCCCTGTAATCTGAGCACACACTCAGGCTGCCTCATTAGCTCTTCGCCCCCAAACAAGCCTGCCATTTCTGGGCTGGCTGTGCCTGCTAATCTCAGCAGCCAGAGCCCACTCACACCTCGGCTTGCCATGTGCCCAAACAGCCCATCCAGACCCAGTGTCTGCTCCACCCCGGGGGACCGTGAGCAGCAGCTGCTAACTGTGGCCCTGCCAGCCCTGTAGTCCTGCAGCTTCCAGCAGGCTGGTGGGACCAGGGGATGACTTCAGGGCTCGGCAGGGAGGCCGATCAGTGTTGTTGCCTGGGAAGCTCCGACTGGAACCTGGAAGGACTCAGGCCCAGTGCACAGAAACTGGGTGTGGCGGTGCGCAGCTGTAACCCTGGCACAGACGGGACTGTGGATCCGGAGGCTTTGCTGGCTTGCCAGTCTAGCTGCAGTGACAAGCTCAGGTTCAGAGACAAACCCTGTTCCCCACAACAGTGGGAGGTTAGGGGGTTGGGAGACAGTTCAGTGCATAAATCCCTTTCTGTGTGAGTGTAAGGACCTGGGTTCAAATCCCCAGAACCCTTGTAAAGGCGGGCACAGTATTATGCATCTGTAACCCCAGCACTCTTACGGCCGGAAAGGAGCAGAGACGTGAGAGAGCCTGAGCTATGCAGGATAGTGGCGGACAACAGAGGCTCCACCTCAAACAGGTGGAAGATCAGGACCAACACCTGAGGCTGACCTCTGAACTACACGCATGCACACATGTGCACACACACACACACACACACACACACACTCACAAACACCAGAAAACTTGGGCTGTGTCCTCTGCTTGTGCCCATCATGGTTGTATCCACACTCCTCCCTTTTTCTTTTTGTGCCAGGGACTGATCCCAGCTCTCAGACACACCCAGCAAGTTCTCTACAGTCCCATATTTCATTTTTCACTTTTTAATTTTATTCTAAATCGTGTGTGTGTCTTTGCCTACATGTATGTCTGTGCACCTCGTATGTGCAGGAGCCTTTGGAGGCCAGAAGAGGGAGTCATAGCCCCTGAAACTGTAGTTACAGATGGTTGTGAGCTGCCATGTGGATCCTCTGCAAGAGCAGCCAGGGCTCCCAACCATCTGAGTCATTCCCGGCACCTCATATTTTGGTTTTTAAAAGGGTCAAACCAACTGCTGCAAAGCCTTATTCAGCTCTACAGCCAAGTTATTTGTGAAATTTGGGGTCACTTAGGGGCAACACTAGATCCTTTTTTTTTTTTTTTTTTTTACAAGAGTCACTAAACCCTTCATGTTTGATTTTCATTGCAAAGAAGAGGGAGAGAAGCCATCGCATACTAAAATCTTTTTCTTCCTTCCATCTTCCCTCTCTTCCAACTTTCCCCTCTCTCTTCCCCCTCCTCCATTTTGTGTTGGGTTTGTAGCCCAGGCTGCTCTCAGTTTCCCCGCTCTCTTGCATCTGAGCCTCTCTCGGGTGTTGAGGCTCAGGTGTGCACGCTCACACCTGGCTTGGACCTAACAGGAAACCCAGCCAACAGCCATGTGTTCCCTGCCCAACGCTGCGTGAAGGCTGCTGCTGTCCCCATTTTCCAGATGGAAGAACCAAGGCCTTCAGTTCAGAAAGGCTAGGTCAGAGGCTGAGGTCTGACAGGCCAGTATGAGTCACCTCACGTCAGAGAGTCCACACCTGGGAGTTTCAGATTGTTCCAGGGAAGAACCTCCAGATACACAGAGGAACAGGCAAGAGACACAGCTATGGAGGACAGCTCGCACACTGGACGCCTCAGCTGGGGAGAGAACTGCAACTTTTAAAGACCCTCTCCTTCCTCCAGGAATACAGTGACCTGCACAATAAGCTCTGCATGGCAGCAAGTTATCCCCAAAGCCCCAGGGTGGCCTGAGTGAACAAGGAGAAAGCCAGGCACAGCCCTGCCCAAAGGGACAGAAATCACAGAGGCTCGGCAACACCAACGTTCTGGCTGCCAGCCTTACAGTCGAGGAAGCTCTGAGTCCTTGTCAGCCTCAAGCTTTTGCTGCCTGATCCCTCAACTTCCCCGAGCACCCTGGGAACTGCCACAGGAAACAAGCAGGGAGGGTCTGCCGGGGGATACCAACCCCTGAGACTGGGTCACACTGGACGATATCCTCAGGGAGTGTGTGCAGGCAAACATGCTCGTGTGTGTGTGTGTGTGTGTGTGTGTGTGTGTGTGTGTGTGTGTGTGTGTGTGTGTGTGTTCAGCTGTCATTCCTCAGGCAGTATCTACCCCCAGCTCTGGGATTACAAGTATGTCCACCATGCCTGGCTTTTTACATGGGTTTGGTCGGGGTCCAAACTGTGTCCTCGGTGCTTACAAGGCAAGCCCCTTAGCAACTGAGCTCTCTCTCCAGCCCCACCTTTTAAGTTTTAAGTGGCTATGTAGCCCAGGCTGGCCTTGAACTCTCAATCCTCCTGCTAGTCTCCTGAGAACTGGGACTAGACTTGGCCACTCACTTGCAGAGCAGGGGCCTTTCCCCACATGCTCATGCCTACTGAGAGGGTAAGATGTCAACCAGGAAGCACACAGCAATTGGCTGAGTGGTTGAAAGCAGCAATAATTTGAGCCACTGTCTTCTGCCGCACAGCCAGCAGTCCTAAGAGACAGTGGATTCCTTTGTTCTTTCCAGAAACTTCTCTTAGCACAGCTTTTAGACTTCCTGAACACGGTGTTACAGAGATGTGGGGTTCAGAGCAGGGACCACAAGAACCTACAGACCCATCCAGTCTCTTCTTCACAGGTTGAGAAACTGAGGCTCGGAGAGGGGCTGAGGACATCCAGGAGACACCCTCAGAACAGCTCCACAGCCTGCTCCTCTGACCCAACAAATCTTCCCATGCCGGGCACTGGCTGAGCAGAGGCAGGAAATGCTCTGACCTCAAGGTCACAGTAACTGGCCAGCCCTGCCCCAGGCAGATGCGGTTGCTGGAGAAGGAGGCTGGCTCAGGACTTCCCAGAGTGGTTTAGAAGCCATTTCTAGCCCGCTATGGCCACAAGAGCTGAGCTAAAGGCGGCCCTGCCCTCACTGCCTTCTGCAAACAGACCTGTGCTGCCCATGTCCATCTGGTGTCCCCTGTCACCATGAAGCCACACTCACGTCCTCATCACGCTCCAGCTCCAGGCCTGCCTCCAACAGGTTGCCCTCGTATTCCTCCCGTCTGAAGCGCTTGTCATCTTCATGGTAATCCATGGGGGCTTCGGGTGAGCCCGAATCCACGGGGCTCCCCTTTCCAGGAAGGGGTTGGTCCTGCCTGACACTGCGGGCCCCCAGGGCCATGTCATTGTGAAGTCCCCTCCTGGCCAGAGTCCTGCTCCCTGAGGCTCTCTTGTGATGGTACACCAGGATGTAGTCCACCTTGCGTTTCCCGTCTCTGAAGTATAGGCCATACTTGCATTCAGCATCAGGGTCCACGGACAGAGAGTTGAGCAGCTGTGAGGAGAGACAGAGAGATGTGTTCAGTTGTGGAGTGGTTCTCGAGGGGCCTTCTGGTAACATGCTTCAAGCTGGGTACTACGCTCATCCATTCGCTCGCTCGCTCGCTCATCAGACATGCTGGGCCTCACAGCCCTGCTTGCTGCAGGCAGAGCCTAACAAATGTCTGCTATGAAATGTTTATGAACACCTGCAAAACTACACTTTCTCCTCACTAAAGTCACCACCGTGCACAGGCTCTACGCAAACACCCCAGCGCATTAGTTATTTTTCCTTTTCATGTGTGTGCATACATTCCTGAACTTGCACATATGTGCAGGGGTTATAAGACAACAAGAGTCTTCCTTGGTTTCATTTATTTATTTATTTAAGATTTATTTTTATGTGTATGAGTGTTTGCCTGCAGGCATGTATGCGTACCGTGAGTGTGCAGTCCCCATGGAGGCCAGAAGAGGGTGTTAGATACCCTCAAATGGGCTACAGATGGCTGTGATCCTTCGGGTGAATGCTGGGAACAGAACCCACAAGGCTTTTGATCACTGAGCTATCTCTCCAGCCATCTCCCCTGTCTTTTTTGAGACAAGGTCTCTCCCTGAGCCTAGAGCTCTCCCATTAGGATTGTTGACCAGTGAGGCCACCATCCCTTTTATCCATCCCTGCCCGGTGCTGGGATTACAGGTACGCCATCGTGCCCAGCTTTTAAATGTAGGTGCTGATAATCCAAGCTCAGGTACTTGTGCTTGTGAGGCAAGCCACCCCCCGCCCCACAGCACCATATTACGTGAGACTTGAACATCTGCGGGTTTCAGTATCTGAAGGATCTGGAACCACTACCATGCCAGAGGACAGCCACTCCTATAAATGGCCACCGTGAGCCAGACCCAGTCCAACAGGCTAAAATACATAGAGATGGAATGGCCTTCTTGGGGCCCACACTCTAGAAGGAGGGAGGCCTTTGTCACCCCTGAGGATGCTAAGTCATGCTTGGTCGCTAATAGGACCTCCTGGTCTTTGGATGGTAAGGTCCTGTCTGACTCCTGGCAAAAAAATCTGCTGTAAAAGCCACAAAGCTAAAGTCCCAGGAAAGAGGTGGTACATGTGCATAGGGCAGAGCCCGAGGCAGGGCAGAACCGAGTTTAGTATCTGCAGGCACAATGTCACCCTCTGGCAGCCAGAAGCCAGGAAGCATGATGATGGCTTCAGGGCCACCGGCTAGCTGGGTGATCAGAGTCCAAATGTGTGAAAGCCCTTGTTTACTCAGACTGGATCCTCCAGAAACACCCAGTCCCCGAGTTGGGCTCTAGCATGGAGGAAGGAGGACTGAGATCCAGGCATTACCCATTCCAGGACACTGGTTGAGAAGCAGCCTAGGACCGCCAGCTGTCCCCAGAACTGGCTTCAGCCCAGCATGAACACCTGCGCCTGGCAGTTTCTTTCTCAGAGTTTAGCTGCCACGTAGAGAGGCCACCCTTCCCCTGTGCCAGCTCTTGGTCCTGAGCAAAGTGGTAGGGAGGACGTCACCACCTAGGCCCTCCCTGGTGGCATGCAAGTCCCAACACAATGTACACGTCTCTTTCTGCACCACAGCCACCATGCCTCCTCCTGGAACCCTTACCACACTGAAAGATCCTAAGCTGGGTGAGGATCTAACCCTCCCCTCTACACTGGGCACAGCCCTGGCCTCAGTTTCCCCTGCATAGTACTGAAAGACATGTCTTTCCCGGTACTAGCCTGCTGGGTTCTGCTCCCTTCTCTGGACACCTGCTATGATAGACCCAGTCACAGGATTTTCCACTTTCTCCATATCCCCTCTATCCCCCTAACCTATTCTATTCCATCCTGTCTATGCCAGAGGCTCAAGCGCCACCAATACCCAGGGGCCTGGCCTTGAGCTGACCTTTACCTTGACACATCAGCTGCCAGGAAGCCACTGCCCACCTTTCCCAGTACGGCCACCCAGAGCTAGGATGTCCCTAGCTATTAGATGACTATGAGGAGCTATGTATTTCCTCATATATAGTAGGACCACACCCTCCTCTGAGACACAGGAGGCTATGAAGGGGAACAAGGGAGAGGGGAGGCAGAGTGGAGCTGTGTCCAGTCCAGAGTAATGGAGGGAGGGGAGAGGGACTCTTGAGCAGGGTCAGGGGGTCATGGCCTTTCACCTCAGCATCCTTACCCTAGGACCACATCTCTTGGAGACAGCAGGGTCTGTGGTACACCCAGCTCCCACAGGCTGCAGGAGACTGGAAAGGTTCCACCTTCTTCCTCCATGTTGACTGGGGTTTCATCCAGGACTCTATGGGGCCCTGGACAGTGTGGATATTCCACTCAAAGTGCTCCTAAGGGGTTTCTGTCCTATTTTCTGTGAGTGACGCCATGTGGGTGTCTATAGGTCAGAGACAACCCCATGTCTGTGTGGTCTCAAGAGGGCTCAGGAGGGCTGCGTTTTGTTATTGGTTTTTTTGTTTTGGTTTGGTTTGATTCTTTTGAGGCAAGGTCTGGGACTTGTTATATAGCCAAGGATGACCTTAAACTTCAGATTTTCCTGCCTCTGCCTTTCTGGCGAAGCTGTTGGGGCATGTGCACCCATACCCTGTTTCAGGCAGAGCAGGGGCTAGCACTTAGGGATTCCTATATGCCTAGACACTGAGCCACAGCCCCAGACCAGGGCTATGACACTCTGGAATGTCACTGCAGGAGTGACACTCTGGCCCAGTAAAGAGCTAAAGTTGTGGGAATCTGAACATCTGTCCTCAGGCACCAAGGTGAGTATGTCTCCATAGAGGGACAGAGGCTTCATGTCAGGGGCAGGCATGGGACTGTGCCTAGCCTTGGATCCTGTCCACATACCCAGGGCACTTCTGTCCTCACCTTCACAGAAATGGTGACATTCTTTCTAAGAATGGGGCAGCCTGTCTTCAAATGTCCCACACATGGAGGGGGCACTGTTGCTAGGTCCACCCGGGCTGGAAGAAACTGAGGTTGCTACATGGGAGAGAGGAGAGGGTACATGTGTCCGGTTTGATGCCCTGAGTACCAAATCCCCACCCATTACCCCAGAATCCCAGCCCTGACTCAGTCCTGAAGGATGCGACCAGGAGTGTGCCTCCATCCTGCCATGGAGGTCCTGAGACAGCAGGCAGTTTGGAAAGCAAAGGCTGGGGGGCAGGGGGGGAGAGGTCTGGAGACAGCAGTGGCTTTTTGCAGGCCCTGAAGTTGGCCAGGCCAGGTCCAGGCCTGGGAACACTGGAAGGGCAGTAGGGCCGCCCCCTGCCAGGAGGATTAGCCAGGTTGACTAGGGTTCTGGCTGAGCAGAAGCAGGCTCAGAACATGCTGGGCCAGGTGCCTGGGGGGCATGCCTGTCACCCTGGCTCTATCCCGGGGGCTAAGCGTAGGTTCTTCTCAGAATCCCAGGAAGGGCAAGGAAGTGCAAAGTCACAGGGTGCTGGCTGCTAGCGGAGCCTTGAAGGGGAAGATGAACCAGGCCCCAACCAAGAACCCTGGAAGACCAGGAGCCCCTGTGCCATGCTGGGCAGTGTAGCCATGCTGAGCCAAGATGGGCATATACTGGGGGGTCAGGATGGGGTGGACACACCTGCTTCTGCTGGCATCCTGATCACCCCGGAGGCTGAGAAGTACCAACATTATTTCTAAACACAGTCCTGGGACCCTACCAGGCTTGGCAGGGGGCCTTCTAATTCCTTCAGCTAGGACCTTCCACATCTCTGCCCTTCCCCCTCCAACCTGCCTACATTCACAACTGTCCTCTTCTCTCTCCCTCTCTTCATCCTTCATTAGTTCCTTCAAACCGCTTTTCATTTTTTCTGTTTGTTTGTTTTGTTTTTTTGTTTTGTTTTGTTTTGTTTTTTGTCTAGGATCCAAGTTGCCATGCTGGTCTCCTGTGGACCACCTTCCAAGAAGTTCTAACTCTCCTTAGCATGAGCCCCTAAGGCTAGACAGGCACTGCCCTAATACACCTGCACCCAGAGCCAGAACAATGGCTACCATTGAAGAAGATGGACAGCCAAGACTTAGAGAAAAGGACAGTCAGAGCCTTCCAGTGAGACATACAGGGAAATTACCCCAGGACGCCACTCAGGATTCTGCAAGGTGGGGCAGGGGTCCGGTTCGACGTGAGCAACTGCATCTGTCTGCTTGGCCCTATTAGGCCTCCCACAGGGGTTTGCCAGTCCTAGGGGAAGGCACGGGGGGGGGTGTTGGGTGGACTGCCTCTGGAACATGGCTCCACCTCCCTGAGACCGTGTCCGTAAGCAGGACACATTTAGCAGGACTTCACTGGCAGTGCTGTCAGAGAATTCAGGGTGCTCACCATAAGGTACCTACCACAGGCCCCAGCGGGCTGTGTGTCGCTGGGAGCTCACTCTCACTGGGAGCTCAGTGCATGAAGGGGGGGACAGAGAGTGTGGGGGTGTCCTTAAAACTCTTGGCCTAAGAATGAGGACCTGGATTCGGATTCCCAGCACTCACGTAAAAGCCTGGGTGCAGCATGCACACAACCACAGTACTGGGGAGGCAGAGACAGGCTCACTGGCCAGTCAGTCTATCAGAACTGGCAAGTTCCGGGTTCAACGAGAGACTCTGTCTCAAAAAGCAAGGCGGTGAGAGAGAAGACAGCCAATACCAGCCTCCACAGAATAGGTGTGCACGCGTGCGTATACACACACACACACGTACACACATACACACATGTACACACACACGCATACACACATATACACCACACAGACCACATTCACATGCCACACATATACACAGGGAAGGGGAAAAAGAAACCTTACTGTCAGAGGGGACCATAAGGAAGAGGTGGCAAGGAGTCAGATTCAGATTTTTTAAACTGACAAGGCGGGACTGGGTAGCAGGAGGTAGTACCACACTGGTGTGGCCATCCCCGGGGGTAGGTAGGTGGGAGGGTGGCCCTTGGGGACTTGTCCTGTTATACTGGGAAAACTGTCTGTGTAGGCATTGGCTTTATAAAGTGTGTGTGTGTGGCAGGGTGTGTGTGTGGGGGAGCCATCTTTCTTCAGTGTTAGTGGGTAGCAACTTCTAGACAGGCAATGTGAACTCCCTGCCTACTGTTCTCTGTACCAGCCTGGGACCCCCAGCGTCCACAGGACTGTTCTGAGATGGGCCTGGGAGATGGGGGGGAAGACACAGTAAGTCCCCAGGAAGCTGCAGAGGCACCAGGTGAGTCCTCCTGTCCCTTCCCTATACAGAACAGGACAAAAAGGCCACTGTGTAAACTGCAGCAGGACGGATGTGGGTTGGACTTTATGTGTAACTTCCAAATTTTCTCATTGTCTGCGGTTAAGAAGGGGTACCTGGGTGGAAGACAAGGGGTTTCTTAGTGCTCTCTTAATGGTAGGTTGTGGGATGAGTGTGTGCCTTCACGTACAAATGAACATCAAAAGCTTGTATCTAGGTACTGCTATGCTCCATGGCTGTAGAGAATGGGAGGGACACTTGCAGGGGTCGAATGTGATGGGGTTCTCTCCTGGTGTCTGGGGGAAGTGCTCCCAGAAAGGGCTTCCTCGGGGGAGAAGGATGGACAGCAGATCCTGTCCCAACACCACAAACAGGGAAAGTGGTGCCAGCTGCCCCCAAGATGCTGGACAGAGCGGGGGGGGGGCATCGGCACGGCCCTGAGTTCACACCCTAAATGTGCGTGTGGGACCAAAGTCTGTCCACTCACCTCTGCTTCCTGGTGCACAGGCTGATTTCAAACACCCTGTGACAAAATACTGATGCTTTTGAAGGGGTCTAAAAATCTCAGAATTTCTTTAAAAATGGGACAGATGAAATCAGAGACCAAAAACTTGCTTCTGGTTTGGAGACTTGGATTCCAGACTGATGAGGAACATCAGGGCACTTTGATTGATTTTGAGATAGGGTTTTTCATTCGGTAGCCCAGGCTGGTCTCAGCAAGTCTCCTGCCTCTGATTCTCCAGCTCTTGGACAAGCCCACTATGTCCAGACTTTTTTTTTTTTTTTAATCTTTTTCTGCCTGACTCATAAGCACAAGCTATCCATTTCCGATCACTGGGCTTGCCCAGGAATTTATAAACAGAAGTTTTCGATGGTAAATAAAGCAGCCTATGGCCCTGTCCCGGCAGGTGGGCTGACACTCACACAGCAGGTATTTCTGGGTGTGGGCATCCCAGGCCATGGAGGGCTTGGGTTAAAGACAAAGAGCAGAGATCTGCACAGAGAAAACCTAACCTAAGGTACCGAGTCCCCATCACCTGGCCTCCGGCTCCCAGATGATCCCCTGGCCTACCTCTTTGAATGAACCAATGGGGTGATCTGCCCCCTTTCCCTAGAAATAGACGTGGCAGGAGAGGCTGCCTAGATCTGCGGTCTGGGTGGAGGGGGTCTTTTTCTAAGGCTGCTTCTCTCGGGAAGGGAGGTGCAGCTCACAGCCTCCGGCTTTCTAGAGCACTGGGCTTCCTCAGATGACTCTGTGATGACTAGCGGTGGTGGTGGAACCGTGTAAGGATGCTCAGAACCCCGGCTTTCAGAGCTACAGCTGCAGCATGATCCGTCTGTCTCTCCTGTACATGGACCCAGGGCCATGGCCCTCCCGGCCTGCAGAACTGTATAAGCATCTAGGAAAAGCTGTGAACAAAGAGAGGGCCGCCGCTGGGCTCGCCCACATGTTTCTGGACTGAAGAAGACTTTGAATGAGATCCAGACCTCGGTGACCTCCTTGGTTTGGGGGACACTGGTGGCTGTTAGGTGTAGACACGTAACAGGTCTCTGGATGAGAATGCCAGTGGCCAGGGCCATTTGTTCAGACTGTTTGTTCATACTCAGGTCCCTTCTCATGGGTGCCACCTCTACAATAACACCTCCTTATTACCTTGGCAACCACTGTTCTCCAGTGCCTCCAACTGGAGCCCTCACATTCCCACCTCTGGACCCCACATCATGGATGCCACCCAGCCCCACCCACCATGTCCATTCACAGGCAGCCTTGCTGTGGTCTCCCTCAGCATCTTTCAACTGATGGGTGACTTGTGAGGAATCACCTGTCGCTCTGGGCCTCAATTTCCCGTATTAATAGTACCCCCACCACCACACACACCACACCCCTTTGTTTTGAGTTAAACAAGCTGAGAAGGCCAGTTGGCCACCTTTGGGGAACTGTCCTTTGTTCCCATCTGGGCTGGCAGGGGAGCATTCCATCAGAGCGTCTTGAGCTCCGGAAGGGAGGAGCCCTCCCTGTCTCTGCTCTCTCTGGGTGCCCAGGGGCCAGGAGCTAATAAGGCTCAGTGAGGCCCAGCCCAGGGCTCTGTTCACACGTGTCCTTGAGCTCCTAAGGCTGTTCCCATTCTGTACATGACAGTAAGGTACCTGTCCATCCACAGCGGCCCCTGGCCCAGGCTCTGCAGGACTCGGGTACCATTCAGTGTTTTCATCTGTCCCTCAGCTAGCACCCCAGGACTGCCAGGTCTGTTCTACAACCCGAGCGGGCACTGCCCAGCCAGACCTCCTATCAGGCCTCTGGGCGTAGCCACCCTGGGCATGATGGCTCCCAGCCCCGGGCTAGGACAGGTCAGGGCAATCCCTCAAGCTGGGCCTTCCACTCCTCCAGCCCCAGGCCAGAGCCCCAGGCTTTGAACAGCTATGCTCCCTGGAGCCTAGGAAGGGACCTTGAGGGACCTGGGGGCTGCTGGGGTGTTGGGGAGGAAGAGAAAGAAGTTCTTTGGTCTTTGGTATCTGCTGGGAGTGCCCCGCCCCAAACCAGGCCCTGGGAAACTTTGTTCTTTAAACCAAACTCATAAGGGTTGAATCCCCCCCACCCCCCCAACACACACACCATGCCACTAGGAATCCCTGTGACCTGCTGAGTCTGGCCCCAGGGACAATGTTATGGTGGAGGGGACCTCTGGACTGGGTTCCCCAACCAGGTGACTGACTCCACCCTGCCCCTGCTGAGGGTACTGGGAGGGGACTAGGGACCAACTCTGGGAACGAAGTCTGGGTGGCGGTCACCAGCTGCGGTGGGCTGGGCTTGAGCATCTGGCAGGTGAAGCCCCACCGGGTGGGGGTGGCGGCAGAGTGGTCTCGCTCACCCTGGTGGCCACCTGGTATCTACCCTTGACTCTCACCCATCCTGCTGCTCCCGGGGCGCCTCTGACTGGGGACCTGGAAAGGAGGGTCCTATCTGGGCCTGGGCTGTATGCTCAGAACACAGGAAACTCGGGCCGGGTACTTCGGGGACCCCGGGACACTCTAGAGACCCCGGGAGCAGCAAAGACCTCGAGGGGCAATTCGTTGGGAGCTTGGGGACACTGCAAAGCCGGAGCTGGGCGCTGTGTCCACTCCGGGGACCCCTGAGAATTCGCTGTGAAGATCTCAGGGACACTTTGGGGGCCTCGGAGGACCCACCCCCACCCCCGGTCCGGCTCTGTGGGACTTCGAGGACACTCTAAGAGCCCTCAGGACACTCTGAAGACCCCTGGCAATGCGTTGAGGAGACCCCAGAAATACTCTGGGGAACCCGGGCCGAGCATTGCGGGGGTGGGGGACCCCGAGGACGCGGCAAGCCCTGGGCCAGGCTCTGCGGGAGACCCTGGGGACCCTCTGGGGACCCCAGGGCGCTGCGTTCCAAGGGTGGGAGGACGCACAGAGTACAGCCGGTCGCGCGCACTTGGCCGCGGCCGCAGCGCGTCCCCGGGGCCGCACGTGTGTAGGTTGGGAGCCCCCAACGCCCTGCGCGGCGCGGAGAGGTCGCCGGGGACCGCGCCCGAACTCACCGTGCCCTCGGACGGCAGGTAGCCGAGGTCCTCGATGGCGCAAATGTTCACGATGTGGACGCTGCGGTCCTCGGCCGGGAGCGTCGAGTACTTCTCCGGGACCCTCATGGTGGCCGCACGCTCCCCATCCACGGCCCCGGGGGTGTCTGCAACGGAGAAGCGGTGCTGGCCGGGCGCGGACGGGACGTGGCCGCTCCCTCCTCCCTCGCGACCTCCCGGGCGCTGCCGCCACCTGGCCCGTCCCGAGGGCGCCCGCGCGCCGTGAACTTGGCCGCGCGCCGGCTCCGCCTTAAAGATATAAGCGTAGGGGCGGCGGCCACGCGGGTCAGATTTTCCGTAGAAATTTAAACACAGGAAGAAAGGATTCCGAGTTTTATTTTTATCCGGGGTCAGAGCCCATTTAGGATTTTTTTTTAATTTTTTATTTTTATTTTATTTTTTTTTAATTTTGAGGGTGTAAACGATTCTTACCCGGAGAGAAAGTGCCCCAGACCACACCTTAAATAAAAGGCCCCAGAGCTAACTTCGCTGTCTCTTCTCTAAGGAAGTGACAGACCAACCCCACTGCCCTCACCTGGGACCTCTCCTGCCCTGAGCCTCCCCAGGTGCCTGTGCCTGTGTGGTCCCCCTCCCCCACCATCGTCTCTCAAGTACGGTAGCCTCCAACCTGGGAACTTTTTGACACTCTCTTCGACAGGGGAGAGAGTGACCCCTGCATGCCAAGGGGGGATGCTGCCCTGTTGTTCGGTGGTTTCTGTTTCTTTGTTTGTTTGTTTTTCTCTCTTTGGAGGCGTTAGGGAGGCTACAGAGCGCCCTGACGCGATGGTCCTCCAAGGCGGGTTGCAAGTCCTGCAGAGTGGCTAGAGGTCAGCGCTTTCTGCTTTCTCACCTCAGAACCTAGCGGGGGTCCCTGCACACAGTAGGTGTCTGTAAGTCTTCCTTCTGGAGGAGGAAGAAGAGAAGCTCCACGGCCAGCTGCTGTCCTGATTGAGTTTCTGCCGGAGCCACACCCGCCGCCTGCCCTGTAGGGTGGCTTCTCTTTTCCTCCACCTCCCTGCTGAGCATCAGAGACCTTGTGCCCCAGGACACCCTCCTGGGCTCTCCATCCTTCAAGCAGCCAGGCTCTCCTCTCTCACTGTCCCCAGACCCTGTCTGAACCTCATGGGCACTATTCCCACACAGAGCCTTGTCAGGTGGGTGCCAGCTTCCCACGGGTGACGGGTGCACTCCCACCAGCTTGTCCACAGCTGCAGGGGAGCATAGCCACTAAAAGTCACCCACATCCACAGAGCCTCTGGTGGTTCTCAGGCGCTATCTAGAGAGGCAGGCTGGGTGGGAGAGACAGGTGGTGTTCCTCCGCAGCTCCGGACTTCCAACCCAGGGGCCAAGCAGCACCTTTTCAGGTTCACAGACTGCTCCCTCGTGACCACCAAGACCTCCCCTCACTGTGTGCTTAGCCATGGTGGCTGCCATCTTGTGCCCCCATTTAGGTCTGAGTCTTTGAACTTGGAGAGGTTTTGAAAAGGCTACCAGGTCCTTGAGCTAGCCACTCCCATAGGTGCCAAGTGGCCTTAGAGTGGGTTTTAAGAAATGCTTTCAGCTGGCCAAGTCCCAGTTGCAAACAGCTCCCTCCCCCACCAGCCTCCCCTGTGCCAGGGGACTGGGCTGGAAAGACATACAGTCACACATAGGGTTATGCAACTTCATACTATCGATAAACAACGGGCGTTGTGTAACTGTAGCACACCCTAGTCCTAAATTTATGTTCAGGTGTCAGGGATATTCCAGAAACCAACAAGGTATAAAGTTGTTGTTGTTGTTGTTGTCAGGGCCAGGGAAGTGGCCCAGTTGCAGAAGGCTTCATGTGTGTGTGATGTACCGGGTGAGACTTTGGTGCTAGGCTAAAATGAAATGCGTACACGTGTGTGTGTGCGTGTGTGTGTGTGCGCACACACGTGTGCGTGGGCTGCGTGTGTGTATGTGCATGTATGACTGTGTATGACTAGCTGGTCAGTACCAGAAGCTCTGGTGTTCTCCTGTGTTTGGGAAGTGGCACTTTTTCTTTAACCCTGAGAGGGCTCTCGGGGGCATTGGAATGGTCTCCTGGCCTTGTTCTTAAAGCCCCTGGAAGCTGCCAGCTCGGGAACCATCTCTAGATATGGTGGCTCTCCGTCTTCTCCCCGGACAGCGCCCTGCTATGATGGAGGAAGCCGAGCTGGGACTCTTCTCTCGGGGTTTAGCCTGGTTCTGCCCCCGCCTCAGCTGGGGGTTGACACCTGCTTGCTGGGGAGACTCCATTTTTTCCTTTCCCACCCTCTGCATCTTCTGGTTAAACCGCCTCCAAGGCTTCTGAGTGCACAGTTTAGGGGAGGCTCAGCAAGGGCAGAGAGAGCATGGAATGGCCTCCACACAGTAGGAGTTTGGGGGATGGATGGGCTGGAAATAATCCTGTGACGGCTGATTGCTGGATGTCATAACCCAGGAGGCAAAGCACTGGGCTTGCCTGCGAGGGAGCTTAGACTGGATTAATCGAGGTGGGAAGACTGTAAATGTGGCCACACCATTCCACGGGCCGGGCCCCCAAAGTGAAAGAAAGGAGGAAGCGAGCTGAGTGCCGGCGTTCATCTCTCCCTGCTACCTGACTATGGATATAACGTGGCCATCCTCATGCTCCTGCCATCGTGCCTTCCCTCACACGTGTCCTCACACTGCGAACCAGACAAACCCTTCTGCCCTTCTGTTGTGTTTTATCAGAGAAACGAGACAAGCAGCTACTAAAGGACACATGCTTTCCCTAGGTCCCTCAGAGCCCAGGCCCAGAGTTCTTGGGTCTTGAAATCTTGAGGACCACCATCAACAGCCATTAAAAAAAACCCCACAAAATTAAACCCACAGCTTCTAGACCTACTTCCAGGAGAAACTGATACTGCTTTCCAAGTCAAGCCCTGTCTCTGGGAGCCTTTGTTCTGCTGTGAGTCACTTCTGCAGCTCACTGCCTGCTTGTCCCAGTGGCCATGCTGGGCCACAGGGTGCTCTTTTGATGGGAACTTCCAGCCTTCAATGCACGCCTTGCCTTCTCAAATCACCCTGGAATGGTGTTGGATGCCAGGAACCAACAGACACCTGTGTCTTTGCTGACATTTCTTAGTCCTGGGTGTGTGTTGGAGGAGGCTGAACAGGAAGTGATAGGAGGGAGGAGAGGACTTGCCTCGTGCAAGGCTTGGAGAGAACCCTTTCCCATGGCCTTTGTGTTAGCCTCCTTGGCTTTGCCCACACGGAAGGAGCCTCTTGCCCTCTGCCCTGCCCTGCACCACAGATCTGAGCACGTAGTCATACATAGCTCAGAGAGAGGAGCAAACGAGTGCTTACAAAGTCAGACACAAAGAGGGCCTCTGTACCAGAGAGAGTCAATGCCTGGTCACAAAGACCCTAGGCCCAAACATGAACCTGATTCCTTGTCAGGCCTCACCATGCCTTAGTCCCTGCTTTTGTAAAAAGAGTCATCTGGAATCCTCAGCTCAGTGAGCCCTGGGCCAAGGGCTGTTCCAGCAAAGGTCTCTTCCTAGATGGGACTATTAGAGATGGTTAATTGCGGTAGATTGTGAGTCACCTGCAAGATTGGTAGAATCTACTTTTGGGTGTCTCTGTGTGGTGGATATAATATAGCTATGTTTTTCCAACCAGAACATTTCTTCTCCAGGAGCTCCTTAAGACTCAGAAAGTAAAGGAAACTCACAAGACTTAGGAAGATCCTAAAACTTAATAGGACTCATGAGGCCCCTCTCCAGGGTTGTACAAGCAGAACAGTGCCTGGGCAGAGGAGACTCCCCCACTGGCTTAGATATTTGCATGTAAATCATGCAGGGAGCTCCAGGGATACTGCTTTCCTGAGCTGTCATTCATGCTGGTTTTTCAGTGATGCAGCTTCCTTTGAGTCACCTATGCTCCTCCTCCCATATAGTCCTCGAAGTATCCTGATAAGCTCACTGGTCCACTGAGCTAGACTCAAGTAGAATGGTTTCTTTGGTTTGTTGCCAGTGCTCTATCTAGGATGAATGGGCATTTGCTCACTTCTTCAGAGGAAAGGTTACACAAAAGCATTTCCAGAGATGGTTGGATCCTAATGGTTTAGACCTAATCAGTGGGTAGCTTGATGGTGTGACTAGGAGATGGTAAGCAGTAAAAGGTAGGGAAGAAGGCAGGGAAGAAGTAGAAAGTAGATGGAAGAAGTAGGTCATGGTGGGAGGGTTGTCCTTGGGGCTGGACTTGGCCTTCGCCCCTTCACAGGCTCTTGCTTCCTGTCTACTCTGGTGTGAGCCCTTCTGCTCAACCACACCCTGCAGACAAGATGAACACCTCTGATGTGCTTAGCCCAAACAATCTGTCCCTTTAACTGTTCTCAGCTATTTTGTAACAAGGATACAAAGGTAACTAAAAGACCTACATGACATTTGGGATAAGACCATTTTTTTGACCCCGGGGACATTTTATGTCCTTAGTCCTTCTACCCCTAGAATCCAGTAGCTCCGTCTCCTGCCAGCTGTGACAACTGCAAACTGTATCAAGGCCTTGTCAGACATCCCTGAGGTGCCCTCAGGCTGGCCAGCATTCTGAGGTCACCCTTGCTGGGCAGACCACATGTGTCACTGGCCTGACAGACAATGCACTTGGCTTAAAGGTCAGGCAGGAGGGTAAAGCTGGTTTTCACCAGGGTCTGCTGATCCCCTACTGAGAATATTGTGTGCGCCCAAGTGCAGGTGTTAGAGGTTGGGCAGACAGCAACTCCTCCCCATAGAGTTTTGTACCAAGAGGTACTTAAGGGCTGGGAATGTGGTTGTGTTGTGGAATGTTTACTCAGTGTGCACAAAGTCCTGAGTTCCAGCCCCAGTACTGTATTAAAAGACAGACAGACAGGTAGGCAGGCAGATGGGCAGGCAGACAGGCAGGCACCATGGTACATACTGTGATCCTCACACTCAGGAAGTGGAGGCAGAGGATCAGGGGTTCAAGGCTATCCACAGAGAGTTGAAGGGCAGCCTGGGCTTACATGAGAATCTGTTTCAGAACAACAAAAACTCACCAGCATGTGCTTAATTTATTTAGCTCCGCTTTTCATCCCGAACCTGGAGATGTGTTTTATATTTTAATTATGTGTTCGTGGGTGTCTGTGTGTAAGTGTGTGCACATGAGTGCAGTTGTCCACTGGGTCCAGAAAGGGGCATCGGATCAACCTGGATCCAGAGGTCCAGGAGGTGG